AAAAAAAAAAAAAAAGTAAGTCTTCTTATAAAGCTAGGCAAATGCCCCCTTTTCCCGATGTTAAGAGGTCTAATCCTCTCCTGTTTGTAGGACTACTACTGCTAGAGAGTCCATCTGCGTTTACTGTACTTGGGTTCCTTCTGAGAAGTCCATAGGGGTTTCTCCTAATTCTCTTGATGAGATTTGCATAACATGCAGGGAGGTGCTTATTCCCCCTACCCATGGCCCCATGCTTAAAGTTAGGCCTAAGCCTACCACTGTGCCATTCACCTGATTCCCCAACTGCTGGAAGGCGTGTTATGTCAGGTGCCTGATAAACTACTATCTGTAGTCCGGTACAATTCATTGACAGGCAAAGATAGGTACTGGTAACGCTCAGAAAGAAGATTCCTTCTTTGTCAAAACAGTCACCAGTGTCCAGTGAGACACACCAGCGGAGACCACCTCCAGAATCCCGCCTATTTGAAGGCTGGTCTGGTAAGCGAGACTGTTGAGTGATTGAAATGGTACCGGGGCTGAGGGACATGGACTGGGGCCATTTGGGTTTTCTACACGGAGCAAGAGTTCCTGAGGTCTACTCGGCCTGCCAGTTCTGATGTTATTTCTGGCCATTTGTTTGCAGTTTGGCTGGTCGGTGTTTTTTGATGAGTGCGCATGCGGTCTCAGGGAGAATAGGAGCGCAGCTTGAAAAGGTCGACCTTGGCAAAGGCCCAGAGGGTAATGGGTGGGCAAAAATCTTTGGCGGGTCAGTAGATCCTGTGTGAGAGGTGTCAGGCCGAAGCTGGAGTGAACGGGGCAGGTAGGTGAGGAGATAGAGCTGGTAACCACACGTCAAGAACCCTACAAAAGGCCAGACCCCTTTCCCCCACCCTCCTCCTCCCCTTCGGTGGCCATCAGGCCCAGGTGCAGAAGACTAACCATTACAGATAACTTTGAACGCTGTTGCTTAGCTCCGAACCTGCAGACAACAAAGTTACAGTGGAAAATTCCCCAGCTACTCCCTCCCCCCAGACCCAGCTATAAAAGTCTCCACCTCTCCCTGGACAATGTGACTTTGAAGGGCCCCAACTGAGGGCCTTGAACCTCACTCAGTAGCTCAGGATACTCCTGTCCCTTTCTCCGCACTCCCTTCCCTCCCCGGAACTCTGAAACAAACCTCTGAAACTGATTTCTATCTTTGCCTTCTTTCTTTCTTTCAGTTGCCAAATCAACCTCACAAGGGATTGCTAGTGCTCTGGGGTGGTTTGATTTTTGTGATGTGGTCAGCAGACAGGGTGAGATATACGATCCTTTGCTCTGTGGTGGGTGGAGCAAATCTCCATAGATGCCCTGGGCTGCCATGTGGATGAAGCACAAGGAAGCCTGAGATTAGAAGTTAATTTGAACTCAGCAGCCCATAAGGGCCAAGCAGCCTCTTTGGTGGAA